GACCCGGGGCAGACCACAGTACCAGGGTACCAATATGATGATCTGTCAGAATGAGAAATATTCAAGGGACATAGATGGTAAATACGAGTAATAACATGGAGGGAGAGATGACCAATTAAGAGTATGACTGCGGCCTACAGTCACCACGTAATCCAAAGTTGTCTCACCTTCACTATATGTTACTCTCGTAATGCACAATACACCGCACCTTATAAAAAATGAAATTGAATGAAAAATAGTAAAGCTACGTTAACAAAGTTAAATACGCTTACCATAAATTACCACTTGGCACCAGTACCTGAGTGAAGCTCCTAGGACAGGCCCCCATAAAACTTGTGACGGTAACGCGTTGGTGTTCGGCTGTTTAAGGCTAGGGGTATGGCCTCGTCACATAGTTATAAAAAAATTGAAAAACTGGAACTTCGTCTGTGGTAAGGTAAGGAGAAGACACACAAAACACAAGTAAACTTTAACAATGAAATTTTAATTACGTTAAATAAATCAAAACATGAAAATAATGCACAAACAAATATGTATAATAAAATCAATGAATCAAAATAATAAGAATACTTAAATGACACAATGAAAGTTACGTTAAGGCAAAATAACGAGAAGTGCAACACAACAGTAAGTGGGAGGTGCTGGAATATTGGCTTAAAGCCACCACCTCTCTCAGTACACTCTAGAGTCTAGCTGGGAGGTGTGCTGGCTACGAAAGCACGGAACATTCTGAAGACTGATGTTGGGGCGACCCCAGACATCAGGTAGTATTGGGGGGCGAGTGCAGGTGCAGCCAGACCGGCGACCAATCAGCGGAGCCGTAGCGATCAACGGGTAGTTTGGTGATTTGGGTCCGAACAGGTGGCGGGCTGCATACGTTTCTGCTCACCCTTGCAAGCCTTGCTGGTGCTGGTGTTGTTGTTGGACATTTCTTCCATAGTCTTTTATATAGTTGTGAAGACGTAATTATGAAGGGAAGAGCAGGCTCAATCTCTTGAAGGAGATTATCGTCACAATATACACTGAGAAGTAAGGTTTATATACACTGTTAAGTATGGTGTATATATACACTGAAGTAATGTATATACACTGAGTAGTAAGGTGTAGGTGTATATACACTGAGAAGGTGAATATACAGCCTGTTGATTTCCCACTCCTTGAAAAAATCGAACCATTTAACCTGACCAGAAACATACGAACCTAAGCAACCCACCTAACCTATCGAGTCAAATGCATAAAAAACGTGAATATTTATGAGCCGGTACTTTTGTAATAGGTTGCATTTGTAACGTTGGTTACAGTAACGTAAAAAACGTGACCTATTAGTGGAGAGGACGGGTTTGGGTTGGTGTTGGGCTCAAGACCTATCAGCGTATGGAAGATAATAATAAATAAATAATAAGTGTTTATTTAGGTAAGGTACATACAATTAGATAGAGCTAGTACATACAATTAGATAGAGCTAGTACATACAATTAGATAGAGCTAGTACATACAATTAGAGCTAGTACATACAATTAGATAGAGCTAGTACATACAATTAGATAGAGCTAGTACATACAATTAGATAGAGCTAGTACATACAATTAGATAGAGCTAGTACATACAATTAGATAGAGCTAGTACATACAATTAGATAGAGCTAGTACATACAATTAGATAGAGCTAGTACATACAATTAGATAGAGCTAGTACATACAATTAGATAGAGCTAGTACATACAATTAGATAGAGCTAGTACATACAATTAGATAGAGCTAGTACATACAATTAGATAGAGCTAGTACATACAATTAGATAGAGCTAGTACATACAATTAGATAGAGCTAGTACATACAATTAGATAGAGCTAGTACATACAATTAGATAGAGCTAGTACATACAATTAGATAGAGCTAGTACATGCAATTAGATAGAGCTAGTACATACAATTAGATAGAGCTAGTACATGCAATTAGATAGAGCTAGTACATGCAATTAGATAGAGCTAGTACATACAATTAGATAGAGCTAGTACATACAATTAGATAGAGCTAGTACATACAATTAGATAGAGCTAGTACATACAATTAGATAGAGCTAGTACATACAATTAGATAGAGCTAGTACATACAATTAGATAGAGCTAGTACATACAATTAGATAGAGCTAGTACATGCAATTAGATAGAGCTAGTACATACAATTAGATAGAGCTAGTACATACAATTAGATAGAGCTAGTACATACAATTAGATAGAGCTAGTACATACAATTAGATAGAGCTAGTACATGCAATTAGATAGAGCTAGTACATACAATTAGATAGAGCTAGTACATACAATTAGATAGAGCTAGTACATACAATTAGATAGAGCTAGTACATACAATGCCTAAAGCCACTATTACGCAAAGCGTTTCGGGCAGGAATAGATATACTCACAGTGTACCTGCACTGAGACTGGAAGTATACTTCTCTGTGTACATGAGTTTCGTTTAGACTTAAAGGCAATTAAATAACTTTAAACGGTTATTATGGCAACAACAACAGTAAGGAACCGGTCGGCCGAGCGGACATCACGCTGGACTTGTGATCCTGTGGTCCTGGGTTCGATCCCAGGCGCTAGCGAGAAACAATAGGCAGAGTTTCTTTCATCCTATGCCCCTGTTACCTAGCAGTAAAATAGGTACCTGGGTGTTAGTCAGCTGTCACGGGCTGCTTCCTGGGGGTGGAGGCCTGGTCGAGGACCGGGCCGTGGGGACACTAAAGCCCCGAAATCATCTCAAGATAGTCTCAAGATAAAGTGAATAGTACCAAATTCCACTATGCAGTTGCCATTTACCTCAATATATGTACAATAGTGAACAGTTACAACAAGTACTATGTAAAGATGAGAACGGGTGTGTGGGGGGGGGGGGGGGAAGGAGAAGGAATTATCAAGGGAAAGCGCCAAGCCATTACGATTATATAGCACTGGGAAGGGGTCAGGATAAGGATTTGGGATGGGACGGGGGGAAGGAATGGTGCCCCAACCACTTGGACGGCGGGGTTAGTCTCGACACTTTGGACAGACAGATAAACAGACACTCTATTCTGTAGATATAGATTTATCTTTTAAAAGTTTGCTGAATAATTTAGCAGTAATTTTTTTAGTATTTAGATAGTGTAAAGACAAATACTGGAATATGCAGCATCAGCTGGGGATCTGATGCTCTTTACACAAAGTGTGAAAAGTATACTTGTGAAGTGTAAAACAAAGATTGAAAAAGTACAAAAGTTTCAACAAGATTGGTGCTAGAGCTAAGAGGGTCAAACTGCGAGACTAGGCAAATGGAACTAAATCTCATAACCGTAGAGAACAGAAGGAACAGAGGGAATATCATCACAACATACAAGATACTGAGAGGAATAGATAATGTGGACAGTGATAGTCGTTTCAGACAGAGAGAAAGTAGGACATAAGGAAACAGGTGGAAGCGGGAAACGCAGATGAACCGAAGGAATGTAACGACATACACTTACCTGTATATGTGGCCAACAAGTGGAAGTTACTGAAGGAAGTTATGGAAGCCACCTCCATCCACAACCTTATTAAGGCCAGATTCAACAGGATTGTTAACGTCAGGTAGCAGTAGGCGGGGCATAAAGCTCACTCGCTCATTGACATTATTAGGCAAGTATTGGAATGTCGTAGGTCAGTTGGGGTTCGGCCCTAGTGCCACATTTCAAGAAATATCAGCATGTATTTTCTGCGTTTTTCATGATGGCATTAAGTTTACCATAGACATTATTCAGTTCAGTGCTTCGTTATATTAAATTTTCGAGAGAGAGAGAGAGAGGGGAGGGGAGAGGGGGAGGACGGAAATTGAAAGAGAGAGGAGTGGGTGAGAAAGGGCATGTGGAATGGAAGTTGAGGAGGAGAGGAGAAAGAGGGGAGAGTGGGAAATAAGGAGGAGAGGGAGAGAAGGGCGTGAGGGGTTGAGAAGAGTGGGGAGAGACGGGGGGGGGATGGGGACAGAAAGGATAAACATAGAGGTGAAGTGAGGGGGAGAAAGGGGAAGAGATGGGTGAGAGGGGGAGTAGTGAGGGGATGTTGGAGGAGAGTTGGGAGAAAGGTACATGGAGAGGAAGTGAGGGGGAGATTGGGGAAAAGGAATGAGAGGAGTGAGAAGAATTGTTATCGTCTGATAACAATTACTGATTGATTGTAGCTGTTATCTGGGGTAGAGAGGGGAGAGTGGGAGAGAGGATGGGGAGGTGAGGAGAGTGGAGAAAGTGAATTAGAGGCAAGTTGGTGAGTCAAGTATTGTCGTGTCCTTATTAACCCACCACAAGTTGTTAGGTCTCAACCCCAACACCACCACCACTACCTTAAGCCTCTTCACAACAACACATAACCAACCACCACAACACACTTAAACGTAAACAAATTATTTCCTTCACCACAAACTTTTAACACACACAATGATGAGCAACAAACAATACCCCTCCTAGGCATGGTTTGCCCAGGAGAGCTATGGTTTAATGACAGTGCTCTAATAGCATGCCCTGCACTATATTTGTAACTATCTCTAATGGACATTGATGGACATGGTGATGTTAACAACCATTATTTTTACTTTGCCTTTCTATCAGCAGCCAATAGACGAGCAGCTGGACTAACCTCTGGCACTATAATCAACTCTTCTCCTCAGTCTATTCTCCTCCCCCCATTTATCTTCTCACCTGTAGTGTAATACTCCCTTTGTGAATCTTTATTACTTCGTTTTGGTGTTGGGCTTTTAAGCCCAACACCTGCCAAAGGTGCCAAGGGTTGTTAAAGCTCTGACTCCAGGTTACCGGCTAAAGTACACTCCCAATGTGTACACAAATAATTAAAGTACACCTCTTGGTTTGTATATACTGAGCATATGCCTATTCTTAAGACTTCTGTTATATTGTATTTTTTTATGATTTATTCTTGTCAAATTCTTTCATAATTTCTCGTTTGATTAATTTCTTATATCACAAATAATAAAACATTTTTAATTTGTGTATTAATCTATATTATTAAAATAAAATACACTGATATACTTCTCAGCAATTAACAGTACAAATATAATGGTTATTTAACAAGATGATTATAAGCAGATTTGCTGTAGAGTGATTCAAGGGACGTTTTGACCTCAACTCATATAGCTCATCGTTAAAAGATATTTAATATTGATACACAACTTGTTGTATATGGTGTGATGTTTACAGGATAATAATTGTGAATATATATGTGTTTATAGAAAACGTTTCATGAACGTCTTATGTGTACATGATGAGTAAGATGATTCAGCTGATGGAGGAATCTTCGAGGTGGGTGACCCACTTACTGAAGGAGGCCTCTGAATGGTTCTTGGTGGCGGACCCACTTATTGGAGGCTTAGGGAGTGGGTCGAGGTGGGTGACCCACTTACTGAAGGAGGCGTGGGGGGGGGGGTGAAGATGTAACACACAGTTACTCAGAAGTGCTCTTGAGTGACGACAGGTCAAGAGGCAAGGCAAGTGTGGCGTTAGACTTCACAGTCACCGAGCTGTTAGACTTCTCAATCTCGGAGGATTTAGACTTGTCAGTCACCGAAGAGGTAGACTTGTCAGTCACCGAAGAGGTAGACTTCTCAGTCACCGAAGAGGTAGACTTCTCAGTCACTGATGAGGTAGACTTGTCAGTCACCGATGATTCATGTTCTTCCTCTGGCTGTCGACAATAACATAATTTTAAATAAACATTTATTAACACGTTGGCTTGAATTTTAAACTAAAAGCAAAAATAGATATTTAAATATTGTGAGTTTTAACTTAAATTGGAAGAAATATGTTGATAACTGCAAATATTTACATTAACTTTTAAAATTATAATAATAAGTGATATTTGCTATAAATATGATATTGAGCCCATTACCCACTAGACATCTATGACTTTGATGTTGTCTTGAGCACGTTCAAGAGTTAAGTATACTTGCTAATTAATTAATGAGTTTCAATAAGTTGATACGCCTTAAGTCCAACCAAAATATACATCAAATAATGCAATAAGATGCTTATCTTAACATACCAAGAAGGTTAGGTAAGGTTGGTGAAGCTTTTCAAGGTAAACTAAAATATTCACAATAAATTAGTATATCACATATGCACTTATTTAATAAGTCAATATTGACTTAAAGAAAGTGCGAGAACGGGTTGAATACGGCCATCCTACTATTGTTGGGGCGGTGGTTTACCTGTTCAGTGGTGGGGTGCTCGTGCTCGTGGTGGTGCTCGTGATCGCCAGCTTCGTGCGTGTGGTTAAGGAGACTTCTGCTCAACCTCAGTCGACTGCTCAGAGACTGAGGAATTGAATACAAAATGGATGCAACTAATGTTAAACAACTTCTGTTGTGGGTTAACCTTGCGACGACGACTTAAGTGTTGTGAACGAGTTCTTTGATACACCCGACTTACATCTTATGTAAGTGCCACTTTTGAAACATGACTGGTTTTTTTTGCATAGAAAACCCTATAATTGATACAATTTTATATTTCTCTGACATTGTTATTAATATGTAATAACTATAATGTTTGTTTCACATAACAGTTATTAATTAAATGAATTTTGGAGAACGTGGCAAAATTGGCCACAATCATATTTATGCAAAATAAGTTTGAAACCATTTAAGATAGTTTTTTAGTGTACCACAAATATTTCCTATTTTACTTGACTTCTGTCACAAAAACCCTAAAATTATGAGTAAACCTTTCAGTTCAAAAGTTAGGACTCGACCTGAAATTTGTTACATCCTATAAATTACATATTTTTTTTTTTTTAGTGTTCCATATTTTCTGCAGCTTCAAGTGTTATAAGACCGAGAGAATAACGCAGTTAAAAGGTTAAGCTATTTATGGTCAGGAAGTTGGGGCTGATGGCCTATACCAGTGTATAGTAAACAAAAGTAAACAGTAAACAAAAGCTCCGATTACTGCTTTTGTGATGCAGTATAATTGAACAAATAATTTACCCATTTAACTATGTAACGTAGAATATACTAACAACCAGCAAAGTAATAAAATATGTTTTAAAATATATCGAATTTAAGTATATTTCACTTGTAGATCAAACCAAAATTAAAGACATAAAGTATGTCTTCAATAGTATCAGTATGTATATCTTCGACAAACAGAATTAGCTGTACGTTTATTTAGGTTTTGTGTATAACCATAGTGTTATCATTAAAGATGGGTAACTAATGCATTTAACGTATTGACCGTAAAGTAAACAGTAAAAACTTGATTTAAAAGAATACACACCTCGCGGCGGGTTGAGCGGGGACTATCACTAGTGTCGTCGCTGGATGACTGGGAGATGCTACTGGCGTCGTCGCTGGATGACTTGGTTATACTGGCGTCGTCGCTGGATGACTTGTCGTCGCTGGATAAGGGAGAACCTCCTCTGGCCTTATGGTTGGATAAGCGGGGACTTCCTCTCGTGCTACTGCTTAATGGACGGGAACTGCTAGTGGTATCGGCGCTGGATGAAAGGGAGCTGCTGGTGGCGTCATCGCTGGTCGTGTCGGCTTCCACTGCCGTGTTACTGGTGTCATGTTCGCCCGCTGCCTGGGTTGTGCTTGAGTGACGCTGCCCCTGGAAACAGTATCACTGGTTGGAATATCTCAGCTTGACGCTATTGTTTATTTGGTTTTTACATTAGAGCAGAGACACTAAAGTGTTTACGACAATAGAAGATTGGACATGGACGAGACACTGCCACCTAGCACCTGGTTACACTCTGTCATCTTCGAGAAGAAGGCGGAACACACTGCCTTAGCCATCATTGTAACAGGAGATTGGTAACCTACAGTGGCCCTATTGGCCCAAATGATGCTTCATCTCGCCCTCGGTTACATATTCGGCTGCTGCAACCAAATTATAAGAGTAAAAAAAACAACCAAAGTCGTCTTTTAAAGTAAAGACTGCGACAGAGTTTTAGTGGGAGCGCAGTAGCAGGTGACGCCGGCATCATCCCGCTCCCCAAACCTGCATCTAAGAGGAATATATAAGTGTAGACACTTGTCTAACCTGAGCGCTGGACAACTGAGCTGTTGTTTTAGATTTAGCTACACAGAACGAAATGTTAATGTAGCACGGGCTATAATGAGCCCCTAATTGAGTTACTCACGATAACCTTGTTACTGTGATATTTGGGTCAAAGTTTTAAATGGAGGTGGGGTTTCCTCCTTTTCCCCCGTTTCTTTTTCGCTTCTGTTTTAGCGCACTGGTTGTATTAGTTCAACTGTGGACTAATAACAAGATTATATATTACCCCCGTTCAGGTCAATATACAGTGACAGTTTACTTTCCTCCTGGACCGTGCTAAAAATTTTGCTTCCTAAAAAACAAATAAAACAGGAGGAAAGTTGAGAAGTTTGTAAGAAGAGTGTCCGCTGCTCGGGTGGCTGGGCTTCCACGGAACACTGACACCACTACATATTACACTAGCCAAAGAAAATAGTAAAATAACAGTTAATAACCTAGCAACAATTAAACTAGATCTAGAACTAGAAACTAAACTAGAAATCCTGTGAGCGGTACTCTATACTCATCCTGTGAGCGGTAGTTTATGGAGCACCTCTATACTCATCCTATGAGCGATAGGAAAAACAAAATAATTACAGGATGGGTTGGTCACGTACATGGAGCCTGGGAAAGAGAGAGGCGCGTCTCTCTGATGCTGGGCGGGAGGGGGCGGAGGTCGGGTCTTGGTCGGCCTCGTCATCTACAGCAGCATCAGCAGCAGGGGTGGTGGTGGAGGTGGTGGTCCGGCGCCCACCAGCCAGTACGCCGGGTCTTAGGTGTCTTGGCGGGTGCTCCGTGGTGGTGGATGAGCTTGTAGTTACATCTTCAGCTGTGGGGTTGAAGATGACGCTATGATACAAGATCTAACACTTATAGTTATGGTTTGGTGTTGGGTTTAAGGTCTATCAACAACTGGAGGGTTGTTAAGGCCACCATAACAGATTACTGATCAATCAATCAAGTGTGACGTTAGTCTTAAAGCCTAACAACTTTTGGAGGGTTATAATAGCATTATAACCACTGACCACTGACTTGTCCTCATACCCCAGCTCCTTGTCCTCATACCCCAGCTCCTTGTCCTCATACCCCAGCTCCTTGTCCTCATACCCCAGCTCCTTGTCCTCATATCCCAGCTCCTTGTCCTCATACCCCAGCACCTTGTCCTCATACCCCAGCTCCTTGTCCTCATATCCCAGCTCCTTGTCCTCATACCCCAGCACCTTGTCCTCATACCCCAGCTCCTTGTCCTCATACCCCAGCTCCTTGTCCTCATATCCCAGCTCCTTGTCCTCATATCCCAGCTCCTTGTCCTCACATCTAGCTCCTTGTCCTCATACCCCAGCTCCTTGTCCTCACATCCCAACTCCCTGTCCCCAGCTCCTTGTCCTCATACCCCAGCTCCTTGTCCTCACATCCCAGCTCCTTGTCCTCATACCCCAGCTCCTTGTCCTCATACCCCAGTTCCTTGTCCTCACATCTAGCTCCTTGTCCTCATACCCCAGCTCCTTGTCCTCACATTCCTTCTAAGTGCCATACAGTCAGTAGCTTTAGGCTCCCATAGATACCTTACTTCTTGTGCTCCAATCGTCTCATACGACTTTTTGACTTTGTTAACTATGTTAGTGAGGTGCACCACGATGTGACGCTATTGTAGGTGCGCCCTTCAGGGGTTAATAATCCTCCTGAGTTTGATAAGCCTTAAGTCTAACATCAGCCAGCACCTGTTCTTGAGTGACTACTCTATAAAACAGATCTTACTAGAACTGGAGAGTTGCGAGCGAAGGCAAGCATCCAAGCTAGCCTATAGTGTCCCAGGCATAGAAAACGTTTATATTTGTCACCTATTACTGTTCTTAATAGTTTGCATTTGTAACAGTGTTACAAATGAGTGTATAGTGGAAGGCTTGAGTATATGTGGAGGGCATGAGTATAAGTGGAGAACATGAGTATAAATGGAGGGAATGAGTATAAGTGGATGGCATTACTGTTATTAAGATGAATCAGTCTCTGAAGGGTTATCACAGTCACAACAATAATTTACTGACCAATCAACAACACCACTCTAGTACAGGACCAGAGTCAACTCTCAGTGTACAGACCCTGAGTAACAGGATATTATATCCCAGAGAATATTATACCCTGAAACGAAATGCTGTATATATCATTAGTTTCCGTTATACTTGAAGAACTTACTCGGGGCGGAGGCGACGAAGGCAGCCAGGAGCAGGGCTGAGAGACACACCAAGAACTTCATCTTTCAAGAGTCTTGGGGAGATGTGTTGTGACCGCTCGTCACCTCACTCTTATATGCTCAGTGGTTGCCAGATGCTGAAGGCTGCCACTTACCACCATCAGAAATATCACCACAAGCATTCAATTATCAACGCTCTAATATATATATATATGTATTTAGATGTATTTTGCTGTATGTTACTGATGTAATATAATATGTTCTTGGTGGAGAGTTTGTATTGTGTATTCGGTTAATTTAGCGGGATTAATTTGAATGTTTGAATGCGGGAGACATCGTTTAAAACGGTCAAGGAGACACACCTTATGCGGTTAGGCGTATAATGCATTGTACTTTCAGTATGTGAGTGAGTGCGTGCGTGCGTGTGTGTGTGTGTGTGTGTGTGTGTGTGTGTGTGTGTGTGTGTGTGTGTGTGTGTGTGTGTGTGTGTGTGTGTGTACTTACCTAATTGTGCTTGCGGGGGTTGAGCCCTGGCTCTTTGGTCCCACCTCTCAACTGTCAGTCAACTGGTGTACAGGTTCCTGAGCCTATTGGGCTTTATCATATCACATTTGAAACTGTGTATGGAGTCTGCCTCCACCACATCACTATTTAATGCATTCCATTTGTTAACTACTCTGACACTGAAAAAATTCTTTCTAATGTCTCTGTGCCTCATCTGTGTATGTAAATTTCTCATTTACATACCTGAAGAATAGTTTGGGTCTCAGCAGGGATCCTTAAGGATCTCATCGTCCCTCCTCACTCTTACTCTCTCACTCATCCTTGTTACGTAATTACTTAATCATGTTTTCCACTCATCCGGACCTGCCTTTAAATTTTGTGAATACTCTATCAAAGGCTTTTTGACAGTCCAGACAAAGGCAGTCTGCCTAACGTTATATCCTGCCTTATTATAGAAGTATCATAGAACTGCAGTAGTTTGGTCAGACATGATGTCCCTTCCCTAGAGCCATATTGATGTTTCTTTACACTCCTAAGTCTCTCCAGGTGTGTAACTAATATTTTCCTTATTATTCTTTCGGTTGTCTAATGTGCTGACTCCCGACCTATTTTCCTATATCATATCTACTACATATATATCTCTCTCACACACACACATTCCTAGGATGCTACCCGTAGCAGCTGTATAACTCCCAGGTACTTATTTACTGCTAGGTGAACAGGATGTATACAACTTGCTTTACATAAATTTTCTTCAAACAAGCGTAAAACTTCAAAAATTTTTATTTTATCAATTAAATTAAAACCTGTAAGAGGCTTAGCTGCACTTTCCTGCTGGAGTCTGTATCTCGCCGTCTGCTGCTTCTTGTTCTTGTCTGTTGTTTGAAGAGAATAACTATGCCGCAGGTGTTGACTGGTATGTATCATACCACATGGGGTTACTACACATTAAAATATGTAATATCAGACAGTTAAATATTTATGAATAAGTGATAGATGAGGCAGCCATGTTAACTGTGTGTACACATTCCTCTCACCATCATAAATATGACTGGCAAGTCATCTCACTTCCCATGTATATATTCTCTCAACAAAACATATCAGTTAAGCAACTTAGGTCAACATGAAACTTTTTAAGCTTTCACAGGTTCTCTGAACATTATAATGATAAACAGATGGCTTGGCATGTACATGTCGGGTTAGCGTAATAATATTACTCTGACGTACCCATCCAGTACCCAGATGAGCCACAGAGACGGTAGAAAGAATTTTTTTAGTGTCAAAGTAGTTAATAAATGGAATGCACTAGGAAGTGATGTGGTGGAGACTGACTCCATACACAGTTTCAGATGTAGATATGATAGAGCCCAGTAGGCTCAGGAATCTGTACACCAGTTGATTGACAGTTGAGAGGCGGGACCAAAGAGCCAGAGCTCAACCCCCACAAGCACAATTAGGTGAGTATCTCATACAACCTATCAAACTTTCAACCTATTAATCGGCTTCAATACTCGCTGCTCTAAACATGTCTACTATTTCTTTTAAAACGTCTTAGTTTTATAAATAAAGACTCACTGTGTTTCGTGTTTAGGGTAAAAAAATGATACTACTTACATATTTTCTCAAAAAGTAATATATTATAATATATATTTTATCAGTTTTGTACAGATAAAAGCAACCCCATGGCATGGCACCATATGTTTGTACAGCAATAATGCTGTATATTTATTAATATATTGTCTATACAAACTTTATATCATTTGTCCATCTCCCCCCCCCCCCACCCTCCCCAATCGTTGCTGTTTCCCGTGCCAGACTAGCAGCAGCTGCTGCTGTTTCCTGTACCAGACTAGCAGCTGCTGCTGCTGTTTCCTGTACCAGACTAGCAGCAGCTGCTGCTGTTTCCTGTATCAGACTAGCAGCAGCTGCTGCTGTTTCCTGTACCAGACTAGCAGCAGCTGCTGCTGTTTCCTGTACCAGACTAGCAGCAGCTGCTGCTGTTTCCTGTATCAGACTAGCAGCTGCTGCTGCTGTTTCCTGTACCAGACTAGCAGCAGCTGCTGCTGTTTCCTGTACCAGACTAGCAGCAGCTGCTGCTGTTTCCTGTACCAGACTAGCAGCAGCTGCTGCTGTTTCCTGTACCAGACTAGCAGCTGCTGCTGCTGTTTCCTGTATCAGACTAGCAGCTGCTGCTGCTGTTTCCTGTACCAGACTAGCAGCTGCTGCTGTTTCTGCACGTAAAATTGCGTTATATTTTTCCTGTTCCTTAAGATCAGCCATTTGTCCTATGCAATGATCAGTCTTCAATGTCATATTATCATGAAATACTTAGGAAGAGAGCAGTTTTATCCACCATACAGTATCTTGAGGTTATCTTGAGATGATTTCGGGGCTTTAGTGTCCCCGCGGCCCGGTCCTCGACCAGGCCTCCACCCCCAGGAAGCAGCCCGTGACAGCTGACTAACACCCAGGTACCTATTTACTGCTAGGTAACAGGGGCATTCAGGGTGAAAGAAACTTTGCCCATTTGTTTCTGCCTCGTGCGGGAATCGAACCCGCGCCACAGAATTACGAATCCTGCGCGCTATCCACCAGGCTACGAGGCCCCCCTTAGTATACTAAAACACCTAAAAAAAAATTACCACAGTTTCACAACGTCTCCCAAACTAAACCCAGCGCTTAAAATGAGAGTCATGTGACTGGAATGTCAGTATACCTTTATAATTACCAGCGTTACAATGTTTTCCTGTTAGATTGTTGGAAAATCTTGTACATTATAGGAAAAGAGCAGCTTAAGGCATCCGTAAATTATAACTGCAGCACTTCCCCTATATCCACCCAAGGTATTCCACTCATATGCTTAGGGGAGCCGGTCGGCCGAGCGGACAGCACACTGGACTTGTGATCCTGTGGTCCTGGGTTCGATCCCAGGCGCCGGCGAGAAACAATGGTGTTTTTTGGTGGTGTCAAAGAAACTTTCACCCTATGCCCCTGTTACCTAGCAGTAAAATAGGTACCTGGGTGTTAGTCAGGTTTCACGGGCTGCTTCCTGGGGGTGGAGGCCTGGTTGAGGACCGGGTCGCGGGGACGCTGAGCCCCGAAATCATCTCAAGATAACCTCAAGAAGGTTGTGTAAGTCCGAGGAGCATGCGGGTGTGTGTGTGGACGCCCCCATCCTTCAAACATTTCCTCAGAGATATGTCAGGGTATTGTGATTCCCTTGTGCGTTGGGATATTATATATTGTTACTGAGAGCTTCACCCACACCCTGGGGTCCACAGTCACTCACCCACACCCTCCGCTCCACAGCCACTCACCCACACCCTGGGGTCAACAGTCACCCACACCCTGGGGTCCACAGCCACTCACCCACACCCTGGGGTCCACAGCCACTCACCCACACCCTGGGGTCCACAGTCACCCACACCCAGGGGTCCACAGTCACTCACCCACACCCTGGGGTCCACAGCCACTCACCCACACCCTGGGGTCCACAGCCCCACACCCTGGGGTCCACAGCCACTCACCCACACCCTGGGGTCCACAGCCACTCACCCACACCCTGGGGTCCACAGCCACTCACCCACACCCTGGGGTCCACAGCCACTCACCCACACCCTGGGGTCCACAGCCACTCACCCACACCCTGGGGTCCACAGCCACTCACCCACACCCTGGGGTCCACAGCCACTCACCCACACCCTGGGGTCCACAGTCACCCACACCCTGGGGTCCACAGCCACTCACCCACACCCTGGGGTCCACAGCCACTCACCCACACCCTGGGGTCCACAGCCACTCACCCACACCCTGGGGTCCACAGCCACTCACCCACACCCTGGGGTCCACAGTCACCCACACCCTGGGGTCCACAGCCACTCACCCACACCCTGGGGTCCACAGTCACCCACACCCTGGGGTCCACAGCCACTCACCCACACCCTGGGGTCCACAGCCACTCACCCACACCCTGGGGTCCACAGCCACTCACCCACCAATAAGTTACACCTGGAAGGAAACATTGTCTGTGGCGTTAATTGTTCTTGTGACAAAATAACAACGTTGTGGCTTCATCATGTGCTGGCTGGGAGGAGTGTTGCCTGCTGTTGGCGCCAGTAACGTCCTCGTTTACCGCGATCCTCGTCGTTAACATCTCATTCTCCATGATGTGAAGAACGACAGTCTGAGACACGCTGCTCACAGGTCTTGTTGCATGTTGGGTCCGTCCTCCTGAGTGGTGGTCATGTTGG